AAGGAGTCACCTTCCTTATTATAGAAGGACGTAATCACCCGTTTGACCTTCTTTTTCTCTGCTCGTCCTCCAAATGTATTAACCACAATAGTGGTTTCACCTTGAATCTTGAGGCCTAATCTTCGAGCTAGAGAAGTTGAAATAAAGGATTGATCAGAAGCTGAATCTAGCAGCGCGTATACGATTTCTTGATCTTTGTCTCGCACAGGCTGCAATTGAATAGGAACGATCATTAAGCGAACGTTATTACTGCTAACGAAGGCGGCTGTGAACTCATCGTTAACATCCTCTGCTGCTGTAGTATTTTGAATTTGCAAGTTGACATTGACGTTTTCATATGATTTCTTTCTTGATGGAGGAGATTGATTGAATCGAACTCTATGCCGAGAGTCGGAATTCCTTGAGGGTGACGGGGACTTCTTGATAATGGGTTTCTTCCCTTGATCGGCTTGTGGTGACCCCAGCCGACGACCACTGAGGTGAGCTCGCATAGAGGGACTGATCTGAATTGAAACGCCGGTTTCTCTGGGAGAACTTGTTGGGAGAATAGCTTCTGCTATTTATTTTTGCTCTAGGAGAGAAACTTCGGTGTCTGGGATATTTTGACTGAGCATCTTTTCTTCCTTGAAGTTGCCAAGAGCGCCCTCGAGGGATATGGAATATTTTTCCATGGGCCGTCGCGGACCTTGACGACATAAGGCGATGTTATGTGGACCCCCACAATAAGCGCAATTCTGCTTCCGGCAGAACAGGGTGCTATGTTTGGGACTGAAGCACTTCCAACAGGCATTGAGTTGGCGTAAGCGCTCTCGTTTTTGCATCAAGGTCAAGTACCTGTTGCAGTACTGGAACTTGTGCGGCTGCCCACAACCCGTACAGTATAATTTGGGTATAGCTGATATTCTTGTATGGAAAGTTGACCGCTCTTCTTGATAAGGTTCTTTGATGCTGTCCACATGTTCTTTTCGCTTTATCGCTATGGATAGGTTGGCAAGGAGATCTGTCATACTCCAGAGAGTTCCCGAATCAAATTCTTTTCTTGCCATTTCATCCTGCACATTCTTTGAAAAGGTTTCAAGGACCATTGTCCTCATGTTAGTAGTATTGACTTCTTCTCCTTGTTTCTCTAATGTAGCTATAATAGCATGGACGTCATTGAGGTTGTTTCCTCAAGAGAGCGGTGGTCATCTTGACATTTCTTCATGGATTTGAGTTTGCGAATCATTTGCATGGTTGATCCGCCGTGGGTCTTGATATTGACTTTTGAGTTGATGAAGAGCCTTCTCATAGGATTCCCCAGTTCTTGGTATCATCTGAAGAGTCCTTGCTGCGTCCCCCTTGCAGCAATTGAGAAGAATTGAAAATTTTTCTATATTTGAGTACGGTTGCTTGTGTACCAGTTCCTCAAACAATTCCCAGAAGGAGTCAAACTCCGACGGATTGCCGTAAAAATCTGGTATCTTGAGCTCGTTGCCAAAAAGTCGTCGCTCTAGTGTCCAGGAGCTTGCTGGGGCTGGATGTTGACTAAGCTGAGGCTGTTGACTTGACGTTTGTTGTTCTTGATAATACGTTGGACCGCTTCCGCGTTCAAGATCCTGCTTGAAAGTGACTTCTTGACACTGAAGTTCAACTAACCGTTTCTCAAGTTTACGTTCCATTTCTTCGGCCTGAGAAAGTAGGGTCTCCCCTTGTTTCTCGTACCAGTACTCGTCGAACTTCGTTTCCATCTCTACTTTGAGATCTTGAGTGAGCTCGTTGATCGCCTGATTGCATTCGGCGTAACATTCGCTGATGTCTTCCCTTCGCTGTTCAAGCTTTGATATGAGATTTTTGACGACCAAATTCTTTGACACGAGGAAGAGTTCTAAGTCGTTGGCACGAGTAGGGAACGTCCAGGGCTCCTCGAACTCTTGAGCTTCTTGCATCAAACGAGTGAGAGTCGTGAGTTGTCTAGTTAACTTGATCTTGAAATTTCTCAGGGTAAACGGCTGCTCCGCCATGACCCTGCCGGATTTCGACGATGGAGGCGTGGTGTATCTTTTCTCGTGTGCACGAAGCAAGTGAGAAGCATTATCACACATATATATGATGTTGTTATCCTTTATGTTGATCTGACGGAAGATTATCCGCGCTATGTGGAATTTGTGTGGGAAGATGCGTGCTCATCAGCTGTTTGAGTGAATGTTTTGAGAGGCTCTCATCTTGAAGCTGATGTTTTGAGAATGTTGAGAGCTTTGAGCTTGAATGTTTAAAAATCGTGATCTTGGGCTTCTAATCTTATGGATGAGTCACGAGACTGGAATTTTAAGGACGACTCTAAGAGAACGACTTTTATCGAAAGGGTTTCTTGTGTTTTTTCGTCTCAGGTCGAAATTTCCTGTTTTTATTTTGACGATTTGGCCAATTTTTCTTTTCTTCATGACATGTATAGATGTTTTTTTTGGAGCATTAGCTCGAACTGAACAAGAACTTCTTTTCTTTGATAGTATACCTCGAATGCGCTGCTAATTTCGGGGTGCTTCATCTATTGGCACGACTTTCGGTCGTCCACCGGGATTTTCCGAGTTACCTTCTCGATTACTTTGCAACGCAAAATTAGTCTTTCTATGAATCATAGAGAAATAAAGACGCATGCGATATACTGCCGGCAAATAAATAAATATTGTAAGGTACCTTACCTTTTGCTAGTCTGTCGGACTGCCACCGGGTTTTCTTTCCGAGTTGCCTTCTCGCCAGAACTTGTCATTCCGCTGTATGGAGTGAATTCCTTGTACCTGTGAAACGGACAAACGAAAAAAAGAAAAAAAACTAAATGAGATCAACGGCCCTTGAAACGTTCCGTGCAAGGGTACGGAACAAACGCGCAGTCTGGGCCCTAAACGGCGCGTCTGGATACTAAACATGAAGGGAAGGTGCACGGGCGTTAGACAGGCCGTTTCTATTTGTCTAAGAATGCTTCCGTTTGTTGTATTTTCCATTTTCTGGTAGACGCTCTTGAGAACGTCATAATTGATCGTGCGACGTCAGGTTGTGAAAATTTTGTGAGTTGAGTCTATGGCTTGAATTTGAGCCGATTTCTGATGGCGTTTGATTAGAGCTGAACACCTGATATTCCTTTTCTTTTTTTGAGAAATGGAAATTATTGACGTATCATACCGAATCGTTCTTCAGCCGACACACCAAGCCAAACCACAGCTCGATTGAGGCATTACACCGAATCTTATTTGGCCGATGCACCATGTTCTGAGGGCATCACTCCCCAGATGTAAGACTAAATGGTGGTTCTATACGGTCCCCTTCTTGCTACATAACAGAACATCTTTAAGAGAAATCATTTATTGTTTCTACGACACAGTAATCTAAGCAACCTACTATCCTACACATCAAACTTGACTGTCTTGACCTTGAGATCTTGAAACTAGAATTCTTTTCTGCTACCCAATCCTGTGCGGGTCCGCCTATAGTGGTCAACATGGGATCTGGCGAACGACGGGCTAGAGGCCTGAGCCATCTAGGGCTATACGTTCAGGGTACTGACTAGAGGGTTGACCACTTGTCATTGCCTACGCAGTGACTCTCCGCCTCTCGTACGGCGGCACTGAGCCGGGATCACCCCGATTCCAGAAAGACAGACCGTCCGATAACAACGACGACAACGACGACCCCCTGTCCCCGCCCTTCGGGCGTTTATATACTCGTAGTAGCCCGAGGCGTGCCATAGGGGAAAACATCATGAACAGGGAGTTCATGACACTCCCGAGGCAAGCGAAAAAAAATGGGAACGCATCCTCCCCGCAGATCTGGGTAGTGACTTGTTTTTTGACTTGACGGTGGGATTGACATGATGCAGCTTGACGAAGAAGACTTGACGAGAAATGAAAATGCTCAGTTACAATATGAAAGACATCAAAACAATACACACAAGTGCACACTAAACGAACGAAGTTGCCGATGGTCCTGTAGAATCAACCGCTGCTGACGCCGAAGACGAACTGTGCCGCACATCCGAACACCTCATCAAATAGTGCTAATGTCGACACGAGGGCCAAAACGGTGGTGTGTATTCTGTTTTCCTTTTTTTTTCTGTTCTTTTTTTTGAAATTTATTTTTATTTTTAATTTTATTTTTTTACTGAACTTGTATTATTGAATATTACTGAAATGTTATTTGTTATTGTTTATAGTGGTTATTATTGAAATGGTTTCTTTATTGCAACATTACATTTGATATCATGTGATTATTTATTGCAAATATGTAAACAGAAATAAGTGACAAGTCCCGGATAAATGGCAATCTTCCAAGTGAGTAAATGCGGTTAAATGTGAAGTAAAAGTATATACATGATTAATGCGTTTTTGAAGGAGTAAAGATTACAATGTGAAGGAACATGAACAAGTGAAATATTGGGATAAGAAAGTTTAAAGTTGGACCATGCAAATGGAAGTCTGAATTATAAGTGAAGACGATTAGAAAAAGTGACATATGAACTTGGAAGCAATTGAAATGAGATTGGAAGTGAAAAAGAAAAGGCAACATTTGAACTCGAAAGGACGTGAGTTGAGATTAAAATCTGATTACAAGAACATAATAAGAAGAAGAAATGAATGAGTTGAATGAACGTGAACTTGACAGATTGATTATATATTTAACAACAAACAAAGGTATTTTTAATTGAATGAAGTTAACATGACCATTAGAATTAACGTTCATGTGAAAATTTTGAAAAGGCACGAAATCGCGAAATGAATATTAAGATTGAAATTGAAAGTGAAGAAGGAGGTGATTACAGTTGAAACTTGTGAGGACAAAAAGCACTATGATGGGGTTGATCCCCTCTTCCAGTCGCCCTACAGTAAAAACAGAAACCTGCCTTAACACACGATGTGGCCATGTGATTGGCCCTCAGCAAGCAACGCTCGCACCGGTTGCGATCGAAGAGCACACGTCTTCTCTCGGAAAGGGTGCTGAAGCGCTGACAATCGCTTGCGTGGTGATTGCCATCACAAAACGCACATCGGAGTTGTTGATAAAGTTTCCTGCTGATGACTGGGACCAGGCTGGGGAGAGCGAGCACGCGGCGGCGGGGGTGGGGGTGCCATGAGTTCCCGAAGTCGCTCCGTTTGCTCCTGGAACTCTCGAAGCAGAGCCTCGTACTGCTCGTACAGCTGGTCCATACCACTGAAGGTCTTCTCCAAAGTCGTTTTCATTCCAATAGTCCTTTGATCTACGACGTGTAGAAGACTCTGAAGTAATTGCATACCGTTTAACTGTTATTGAGAGCGTTTATGTTCGGTCGTGGTATAATGTTGCGAATTATTGAGGGAATACCTCATCACGTCGAAAGGTTTTAGATGATTTTGGCCGTGCGCCCGGTGCTTGGTCGCTTTTGAAATTTTTGGTTGCCCGTGATGGTTTCTTAAATGATAACTTAAGAGCAAAAGTGGGCGAATGGCCGGTTACATAAAGAATTTAAGAAAATATTCTTTGAAGCTGCACGGCGAAAAGAAAAATTTGACCTTGAAATCTTGAAATTCGAAAGTGATGGATATTCCGACAGGATTTTGAACTTCAGGTAATATTGAACAGCTTTTCGAATAGACCGAACGAATTGAATTAAGGGTACTCACGGAAACACTATTGATCCGATTCTTGATCGACGGAATCTCATCTGTCCTGCTACGAGACGGTTCACCTTACGGTGAATGGTCGAAACTTCTTCTTCTAACTCTGGGTTGAAACGGCGGCTGTTCAACGACATGCAGCTCAGGACGAGGTGCTGGGGCTTGTTGAACTTGATGTTGTCCTCTTCTTGATCTGCTGCGGGTTGACCAGGTTCCTACGGGAACATCTTCCTCAACCTCCTCGTCCATGTCTTGCTGAGGTTCTTGCTGATCGGCCATCGCTGAAATGAATCGGACGAGTGAATCTCAGCCTAATTTGCCAACAAGCAATATCGATACGTTGAGCAGACGGGAAAGAACGTGGGGCCCCTACTTATCCTACTCGGTCGCCAGGCGAGTAGAAATCTGTGAAACTTTTATAAAACGTTAACCCAAAGCAAAGCACAATGAAACTGTTCGATGATATATGCTACTCTGTTAAACTCATGATGAGCTGTTGATCTTGAAATTGAAATGTAAAGTTATGAAATCGAAAAAGAAAAGCGTACGAAAAAACTCAAGGAGTAATTGCGGACGAAAGTGGATAGTCTAATGATGAGGTATAAAGCTTTTATAAAAAAGAAGTTGCATAAGTAACCGAGGGAAAATTCTGAGAATCTTGAGGAGAATTCTAACTAAGTGCCTGACGAGGCTAATAGGAAGGAGAATGTATGAGACTGGAAAAGGCATCGAAGCTCTCGCGAGCCCTTTTGTTTTGGTAGCGCAGAGATATGTCGCGCTGATAATGATGGCGCTTGGCAGGCTGATGAGAATGATTACGGTATAGATGTAGAACTGTTTGCAGACGTCAAGGAAATGAGTTATGTCGGGAAAATCCCAATCAATTTGAAAATGTTGATCGTCTTGAGATGTATTTTGCCCTATTCTGGCATATTTCCAGAACGGTCTTACTCCATTGATATAATTTAATGTTCCTTGAAGTTCTAGGATCGTAGTGTGAGAGCTGCACTGAACGCGACATTGTTCTTTGACGCGTGCGTGGTTGAAAAACAGTTTGATTTTGTTTACGTGTCCTTCTCTTGTGCATGTAAGCACGAACTGGCGCATGCCGCATGTTACTTGCGCAATTGAGGTGGGCACATCTGATGTGCAGTCGAACGTGGCCACAGCTCCCTTGTAGCAGTTGTAGCAGCCGCTGAAACCCGTGTTTACGACATTGCACTTGAACTCGAGTAGGTTTTGTGCTATGTGAAGGATTTTTGGATTGAGAGTTATGGCTAATTCTACTGAAAAAGCCGTTGTGTGAATTTGGGGTATCTTCTTAGGGCCGGCTGCTACTATTCCATTCGGAATCGGTAGCGGCAGTACGTTCGCTAAGTGGCGCGTTTGAGATATGTCGTTTTGGGTGCAGTAGCATAACACCGTATCTTCCGCTGGGTTGCATTTGCAAGTGTCTTTGATACTACATTGATTAGCGGAAGTATTGGTAGTTGACGGTTTTGACGTACAGGCATAACTAAAGGAGGTGTCATCATCCAAGTATGCAGTTGTTTGATTATCGGTGATGAACCTTTTATGTTGAATTGAAATCGGCGAAATTGAAAAGGAAAGTATTTCCAATTGAACGTAACCCATGGTGCGTATTGTGTATGGCTTGATTTCTCCTGTGAAGGTTCTGTGATCGTATTGACCAGTCGGTTGTTCAATTTTGAAGTTTGACTGTCTCATACCACGAGGAACATTGGAAGACTTCATGCACCTTGTTGTCAGTGGGTACGTGGTAAATCCTATAAAAGAGGCATCCTGAGGACGGAAAACCACAGGAACATCCCCATCCTCCACAGGACTCAGAAGCAGTAGGTGAGTCCTGTGAAATTATTAGCGACGTCGAGTTCCTCGACAAGAGTATCCGTTGAAATGCTAGCACATTTCGGTCCTTTACAGGACCCCATATGTGGGCACCGTTTGCGGGATTGAACTCGAGTTTCTGTATTTTGAGTGAAATAGAGTGTTTCTTTTTGACATCGTAGGACAACTTCTTCTACAGTAATTTTCATCAGATGCACTTGAAGAGTGTCATGCGTGACCTGTAAACACAGCTCCGATTGCATGGAGTTGAATTTGGCATTGACAGTTGTGGTATTGGTGCAGTTGTGAGTCATTGAACTGCACTGGTTGATGTGAGATTGGACAAGTGCGACCTGTTGACATCCTTCGGCTGTTTGGGCGATGGTACTTATCGCTAATAGCCGAATGAAAGTAGAGGTTCTCCATTTTCTGTTACTGTCACTGTTGACTTCAACCAAGGGAACGTATTCGTTCGAGTGACGTCGTTGAAAATGCCTTTGTGAAAAACACAGTTTCTTTGAAATGAAGAGTCTGCTTCCTATATTTGTGCAGCATCTGCATAGTTTCCTGGCACCGTGGAAAGCAAGCAAACTGTTATGAGGACAACGTAGAGGAGAATTGCGGCCAGCACAATCGCTAACCGTGGCCAACATTCCGGATTAGTGATCAGAGCTGTACAAAATGTACAGGTTATCTGCTCACAGAATGGACTTGGGGAGCAAGCCCAATGGAATGTTTGTGTGGAATTTCCAAGCAATGTTTTGACCATTACGTGATAAAAATGAAGTGTAACTTCTGCAGGAAACTGCACTTTGACGTTTTGATCAGGTTGGTCTATTTCTATACAGTAGTCATTGGCGCAAACTTGTAGTCTATCTTGTGTTTGCGGCAATTGTATGTTCACCCCTCCTTTTGAGCATTGAATTACGTTTTCTGTGATGTGGTTGATCTTTGAATGCACGCCGACTTGGAGGCTTGCCAGCAATGTAAACAATAGCCAGCGTTGCCAGTATGCGTTGGATCGATTCATACCCGCATTTCCGTTCTGTGTTCGCACTGAGTGTACGGTATAAGTTTTGTTTTCTTTGGCGCGGCGTGGCAGCCACGGTCGAGTCCTTACGGCGGCATTGTCGTTTTGCGGGGCCATGATCTCGCAATCGACAGATGAGCAGCCGTCGATGTATTCCTTTGGTTCTTCTGCGCTCACGCTGTCTTGATTTGAATTGAGGTCTTTGATTGGTCCATTTGAGTTGTTTTCCTCTATTTCCAGTGGAATAAGGAGATTGATTGATCGCGTTATATGTGATTTCGCTGTTTTGAGTTCTACTGATCTTATATCCCCGTCATGGTCTCGAACGAGTTTAGTAACTAAGCCTAGTGGCCATTTACCGCGCGGGGTATTCTCTTCCATCACGAGAACAACTTCGCCAACATAGGGCTGCTTTCTCGTAAAGCTTTTCTGTGTAATACGGGTTTGATGGAAATTTCGGAGCTCTAGTAAATAGTGACTAGTCCAAAAGTTCCAAAGGTGCTGTAAGTAATTGAGATGATGCTGAAAATGTTGAATGACCTCTTCTTTGTGGAAAGTTTGGGAAGGAAGTTTGGATCCCTGTCTTCTTCTCGTTCATTATATGGAAGAAGATTGACATTTGCGTAGGGTATAATGAAATCGATTGGGCGGATTACTGTAGAGTCCTCCACTGTGCTACCAGAGTACGTGAGTGGTCGTGAATTGACCATGGCTTCACATTCGGGTATCAAAGTAATGAAATCACGTTCCGGTATTGATTTCTTTCGTGTTATTTTCTTGAAAATTGATTTCATTACCCCTATCATACGCTCATAGAATCCTCCTTTCCAAGGAGAAAGAGGTGTAATGAATTTCCATTTGATTTCTTGGTTTGAAAGGAAAATTTGAATCTCTTGAGTAGGAGCGTCCGTCCGATCACTCAGGCTTGCAACGATTTCTGATCCCAAAGTGAAATTTGTCGCATTATCGGAAACTATGAGTGATGGTTTCCCTCGCCGAGCAACAAATCGGCGTAAACCGTTGACAAATTCTATTGCACTCAAGTTGTTGACAATTTCGAGGTGTATTGCTCGTGTTGACCATGCACGTAGCGAGCAATACCCATCTCTTTTGTTCCGCGTTTTCGCCGTTGAGTACCAAAAGGGGACCGGCCAAGTCGATGCCCGTATGCAAAAAGGGGCGCGTGGGCTCTGTTCTTGTTAGCGGCAATGGCGGCGAATTTGGATAGAAAAAGGGTTTTGAATTCCACTTTTTGCAAACTAGGCACGATTTCAGACATTTTTTGACTAATTGACGTCCTTTGGGGATCCAGTAGTTTAGCCTTACATTGGCTAATGTTCCATTGACCCCTTGGTGTCCACAACGAATGTGGATGCTTTTGACGAGGAGCTGCGTGAACTCATGATTTCCTGGAAGGAGAATAGGCTCTTGAGTTTCCTTCGCTAAGTGTTTCGCTTGAATTCGTCCTCGACATCTTAATAATCCGTTTTCGTCTGTATATGGTTGCAAACTTTCAAGTGTCGTGAGATTTTCTTTTGAGAAAGTTTGCTGCGCGATTTTTAGTAGTATTCTCTCAGCCATCGATAGATCGACGGCGTCTAAGTGACCTCATGGGCGCGCCATCAGTCATATGTTGAAGTTCAGGTACGGCTATTTTGAGTTTTTCTTGATTTTCTTTCGAGACTTTATTATAAATGACGTGCTTGAGGAATTTTAAAACTAGGGAAAGAATCCTTTTATATTTCTGCATTGACGAATAACTCCTCTTGAAAAGTAAGTAGTTGAACATTTGAGTCAGATTTTGTCGTTAACACTGTGTGGGGTGAGGGATTTGTGATTTCTTGACTTTCCCCGCAACCAACTTCCTCTTGAGTTTCTTTTGAAGACCAAGAGAACTCTGGTAGGCTGGGCCATTCTGATTTTGTATTGAGTAAGAAGGAAGGACCAGTCCACCACTTATGGTTTTTTATCTGGTCTTTCGTTAACCCTTTCGTTGCGCAATCGGCCGGGTTCTGCTCAGACGGTATGTAATGTAAGTGACATTTCATACCATCATCTGACCATTTCTGGAAAATGATTACGAATTTCTCGGCACCGATTGTTGACGAACGTTCCGTTATTGCTATTAGATTGAACCCAGTTAAGAGCTACCTGCGAATCACTAAAAACATGAACTTCACTTATAGGTAGATTGACCTCTTGAATGATGAAGTTCGTCAACCTTGTCCCGATTAAGAGTGCTAACAGCTCTAATCGCGGTATCGTCACGGTCTTATTATTGATCGGTGCCAGCCGTTGTCTTGCCATCAGGAGGCTACAGCTGATCGCGCCCTCCTCATCGATCGTTCGTAAATAGGCTACAGCAGCGAACGACCGTATCGATGCGTCAGCGAACACATGTAACTCATATGTGCTGTTTGCCGCAAAACTAGCGATCGCGCGAGGGACTGAAACTTCGAACCCGGTCGCATTGTCACATATTGATTTCCATGCGTCATGGAGATCGCGTGGCAATTCTTCGTCCCATTTATAATTGCGTTTCCACAAATCTTGAAGGAAGAGTTTTGCGGGTAACAGTATAGGTATGATCAACCCCAAAGGGTCGAAGGTTGAATGCGCAGCTTGCAAGACCTTGCGCTTCGTCAGTGTTGGGAGAGTTTCGAAGCTTGCACTTTATTGAAAACTTATCTTTTCGATGATCCCAAAGTATCCCTAAGATTTTTATTGACTTACAATTTGACAGATCTTTCGGAGCTATTGAATGATTACATATTTCATCATTTGTGATGAATTGTCGGAGATTCATCGTCATATTATTGAACACTTCCTTTGACATTTGATATTTTTTGATGAGGCGACTGCGTGGATTCGTCAGTGAGAAGTACATTATCCACATAGAGGTTATCGTTGAGTTGCTTTTGAAAGCTTCTATCGAGATTTGCTTGGCTATCGATTCCATACTTGATTGAAATGCCTAGTAAAAATGGGGAGGCATTTATACCAAAGGGAAGCCTGCAAAAACGTAGGATCCTAAGATTGTCTGGAGTTGGCGACTTGAGGTATCTTGCAGCCACAGAAAGCGAACCGCATCTCTTTCCGTTTCTTGAAGGTGAATCATATGGAATGCCTTCTCGACGTCCGCAATTAGTATTTTGGACCCTATTCTTGCTCTAATGAGCACACCACATAAATTGGGTAGAATAAGAGGTCCTTGGTGGATCACGTCGTTAAGGCT